GTATTTGTATTTTATTTAGAGATAGGGTCTCACTGAGCTGCATAGCACCTTGCTTTTTTCTGAGGTTGGTTTTGAACTTGTGATCCTCTTGTCTCAGCCTCCTGAGCTGCTAGGATTTTAGGCCGTGCCCAGCCCAAATACATTTTTTTTAAAAATGTGGTGGTTTTTTTGTAGTTGTAGATGGACAGAATGCCTTTATTTTTATTTTTGATTTTGATTTTTATGTGGTGCTGAGGATCAAACCCAGTGCCTCGCATATATTAGAGCTCTGCCAGTGAGCTATGGCCCCAGCCCCTAAATGCAGTTTTGACTTGCAGTATTTTCAATTTATGATGATCTTATCAGTACATAGCACCATTTTAAGGAACATCTGTACCTGAAATGTGGAAAGAAAAACACATCAACTTAAAATTCTATATACAAGGAAATTATCCTTCAAAAGTGATGGAGAAATAAAGACTGTCTTAGGCAAAGAAAAATTGGGGTAATTTGTTCCCTGCCTTGCAAGAAATGTGAAAGTATGTTCTTCAGAAAGAAAGAAAATGATATAGGCCAGAAATATAGATCTACATAAAGAAAGGAAGAGCATTAGAGAAGTGAATGAAATCAGAATATTTTTTCTTTTTAGCTGCTCTAACAGAGAATAGTTTAAAATAGTAACAGGTAATAATAATAATAATAATAATAAAAGTATAGCTTATGGACAAATGAATGACAGCAATGGTATAAGGGACAGGAGAGAGGGACTGGGAATACTCTGTTTAAGTAATTGTGCTACCCATGAAATAACAGTACAGTTTACTTGTAAGTGGATTTGGATTAGTTGTAAATGTAAACTTCAAACTCTGGGGCAACCACTAAAAAAAAAAAAAAAAATTTATGAGTATAATTAATATCCTAAAAGAAGAGAAAAAAATAGAATTATAAAAATGCTCAATTAAAACCAGAGAAGGCAGAAGAAAAAGAATGGAAGACAAAAAAAAAAAAGAATAGGAAATATTTATTTATAAATTTGGTAGATATTAATCTATATATATCAATAATCACTTTAAATGTGAATAGTCTTAAGAAAAATCTGTTTCTTAAGCTATTAAGTCATTTCAGGGCTCACTGATATGTACTTGGGACACTAAAAAATATTTTAAGTAACATTTAAATACCTCAAAAATCTTGTGGCCCCCTCATAAATCATTGAGAGGATAATCGATAAAGGGTTTGTAGATGTTTAAACTTAATTCTACTCTTTGCTTAATCAAATTGAATTCCAGCAATGCTCTAAAGTATAATTTTCTCATTTTGCTGAAAAGGACAATAACCAGGTTAGCATCTTTAATTTTCAAAGAATACAACAGTAAAATTAATTCTTGCCAAATATCCAATGTCACTGTAGTTTGTAATTTCTAATTAACCAAAGCTGAATCAAAAGGGGGTTAAATGGGACAAACTATGTTATATGTATTTATGAATATGTCAGAATGATTCCCACTGTTACGTATTACTAGAATTTACTAATTTAAAAATTATTTTAAGTTGGAGGTTTATAATTTTGGTGGTGGGTACTGAAGACTGAACCCAGGGGTATTTTACCATTGAGCTACATTCCCAGTCCTTTTTATTTTGAGACTGGGTCTCATTAGGTTGCCCAGGCTGGTCTAGAACTTGTGATTCACTTGCCCCAGACTCAGAAGTCACTGAGATTACAGGAATGTGCCATCATTCACAGCTGGATAATTTTTTTTTTAATGTACCATTTCCCCCCCCCCAATACTGGAGATTGAACCCAGCCACACTCTTAGCACTGAGCTATATCCCCCAGCTCTTTTTATTTTGTATTTTTGAGACAAAGTCTCACATGTTTCATAGGCTGACCTGAAACTTACCATCCTCCTGCTTCAGCCTCCCAGTCACTGGGGTTACAGCATAGACAACTATGCTGGACTTTAAATACAGTATTCTTGCTTGGTGCACCCCAGTGATTCAGAAAATCATAGGATTACATGTTTGTATTCATCCTTAGCAACTCAGTGAAACCCTGTTTCAAGAAAAAAAGGGCAGCAGGTGGGTGGGTGGGTGGCATGGAGACATATTATATATATCAGTGGTAAAGCACCCCTGGATTCAATCCCCAGTACCAATTAAATAAATATTCTTACTCATCTATAGAAACAGATTGTGCTACAGTAGCTAATTCTTCTCCACCATTTGGACTGCACACCACCACTAATGGGTATTGCTTTCTATAATCATATTCCAAAAAACTAGATGAAAAATTGCAGATAGAGATTTCTGTAATTGGCATGCATAGAAATGAAGAATTAGTTAATGATAAAGACTGGCAACATTTTAAACCTTCATGTTTTATAAACAAAATTTTCCATTTAATGGGAACTACATTCTTTAAAATAGAGAATTAGCTTCTGTAGACAAAAACATTCAGGATTAAATCCAAACAGAACAACATTCATATTTGAAAGCACTTTGATAACTCAAGGCCGAAAATCCCACACTGTGCTTGTTGTTAGTCCATTGTTTTCCTTCCTGGTAGCCTCTGGAAGTGAATATTCTACTATTTTGTGCAACTGATGCTGAATGCTGTGTCCACTGAACTGGGGCCGCCCAGGGTCACCAATCAGTACTCGAGTTCCGTAGGTCCAAAAGCAGTTCTTCAACCACTGATGAAGACTATCTGCAAGATCTTCATCATAAAACATATCTCCAAGTACAACAAGTTCCCACTTATCTTGTTCCAAATTCAAAATGTTTTTGGTTAAAATGGGAATAGGATCCAGTTGGTTCAATTCACAATTTAGTGTAATAGCCAGTCCTGCAACTTTACAAAAGCACATAATGAATTGGTATGTTAGCATATACCAATAGGCTATCTTAGTTTCCTGTTGATTCAATAACTTTTAAAATATTCTAACAGTATTTTTTCCTTTTCATGGAAAGTTGTTTTTTTAGGTAAAGACACCTAAAATTTATGCCAATATAAGTTATCTGCTGCAATTTCCAAATATATAACTAGATATCCTGAAAGCAAAACAAACAATACAGAACACCTGGAAGTATTGGGATTTGAGGAACATTTGCTGATTTTAATAACTAGGCTGTCTTTTTTTTTTTTTTTGGTTGTTTTTAGTTTTATTGTAGACAGGGAAAAAAGCCCTAGACTTGAGTAAAGGCAGCAAGTTATAAGTGTAGACAAGAAGAAAATCAGATAAAATTAAAATTTACCTGTTTCAACTTGGGCCCTAATGGAATAAAAATCTCCTCCAAAGAAACATGCTTATCCTCACTTGGGTTTTGACCAAATAAACACTACTTAGATATTTAGGAGATTCCTAGCCCGGAAACCAGCATAAGCATTCCCAGTTGGTTTCCCTTGGGGATATCTGATGACACAAATACAAATACTCTTAGGAAAAAACGTATTGCCAATTCTGGCCTCAGAGGACTCCCAATGTCCCACCAAACATAAGCTCACATTATCAGATTATAAAATACAAATGACAGTAAGATATCATTTTGAAGCATCTGTACATATTTATTCTGGAAGAAAATAAAAAAGATGAGCTTGAGATATTTTTAAGTATGAAATTCCTTACTCGGGTCTATGTCATTGGCCAAGACCCTAGATGCTCCACTCTTCTTAGCAGCAATAGCTGTAGCTCCACATCCACTTCCAATATCTAATACAGATTTTCCTCTGACAACATCAGGATTATCCAAAAGATACCTTAAATAAAAAGAAGAACACGTCTTAAAGAAATGGGAAAATGTTAGGAGAGATCATAATATAAAAATGTCTTTGGGTTTGACTGGGCAAAGAAACAGTAGAACTTAGGAGAACTTGGTACAAACTTGCAAGTTGTATTGACTAGACTGAGACAAACAGTTGATCTATAGAACTGGGCAGAGGTGGCAAGGAAAAGAAATTAGTTCATTTGGTCTTTCTATTCAGGTGAAGAGTAGTTCCACACAACAAACTAATCACGCTCTTCAAGTCAATTTAAAAACAAAAAAAATTAGGTTGTCTTACTATGATCCAGGAACTACCAAGCACCAGAAATTAAGACTGAGAAAATACTGCTATCGTCAGAACTAACTAGATCCAATATTCACTGTCTCCTTTTGTTGGGCACCATAGAGAGATTTTATGTGCTATTTGAACTGTTCTGTGGCCTCTTTGGTAAGGCACAAAGTCCAGTTCAACCAAGGAATTTGGGCTGGGATAAGTAGTTACCAAAAGTAAAGATGTATGAGGAAACACTGAAATAATGTCAACCCACAGATGATACAAGAATTGGAATAACAAGAAACAGTGGGGACTTGTTGCAAAGGAGAGGTGTTCATGCCTAACGAGAAAGGCGCTACCAGCTAATTGTTGCTGCACTGAGTTCTAGTGTGATAGGTATTCCTATTTTTCAAAACAAAGTAAAATTTTATATAAAATCTCCCGTATTTTTAGTGTTAGTAACTATTTTTTATTTTTTAAGTTTACAAATTCAGCTGGGCTTCAGTGGCACACACCTATAATCCCAGGGGCTCAAGAGATTGAGACAAGAGAATTGCAAGTTCAGGGCCAGCCTCAGCAACAGTGGGGCACTAAACAACTCAGTGAGACCCTGTCTCTAAATAAAATACAAAATAGGGCTGGGGATGTGGCTCAGTGTTCAAGTGCCCCTGATTTCAGTCCCCAGTACCAAAATAAATAAATAAATAAAGTTTACAAGTTCAGTCAGGCACATGTTTAATTGTAGTGATTCAGGAGACTGAAGCAGGAAGATTGCAAGTTTGAGGCCAACCTCAGCAATTTAGTGAGACTGTCTCAAAATAAAAAGGGTTGGGGATGTAATTCAGTGGTAAAGCACTCCTAGGCTCAATCCCCAATACCCTAGGGAAAAAAAAGCATTTAAAAAATATGATGTAGCTAGCTGGGTGTGGTGGTGCATGACTGTAATCCCATTGACTCAGGAGGGCAAAGCAGGAAGACTCAAAGTTTGAGGCCAGACTCAGCAATTTAGCAAGGCCCTAAGCAACTTAGCAAGACCCTGTCTCAAAATAAAAAGGACTGGGGGTGAAGCTCAGTGGTAAAGCACTAATGGGTTCAATACCCAGTACCATAAATAAATAAACAAAATGATGTAACTAAATAAAGCTTGAAGTTTGGGCAATATAACAATCAGAAAGTTGGAATTGTTTCGCACCACCAAAAAAGCTTTCTAGTCCTTGGACATCACCCCCCCACCCCACCAACTTCTATGTTTAGCTGGGTGTGGTGGTACACTTCCATAATCCCAGCTACTCTAGACAGGAAGCTAATCTAAGACAGGACGTTCATAAATCCAATGCCAGCCTTAACAAAACCCTGTCTCAAAATTTAAAAATAAAATAAAAAGGGGAAAATGTATTTCAGTGTTAGAGCACCCATGATACCCTCTCCTAAAACTTCTGTTTGCATTTGCATAGTTTGCATTTAAAACTATTACAGCTATGCATGGTGGCACATGCCTATAATCCCAGTGACTCAGGAGGCTGAGGCAGGAGGATCACAAATTCAAAGCCAGTCTCAGCAATTTAGCAAGGCCCTAAGAAATTTAGTGAGACACTGTCTCAAAAAGTAAAAAGGGTTGGGGATGTGGCTCAGTGGTTAAGTGCTCCTGGTTCAATCCATAACACTCCAAAAAAGCAAAAAATAAAACTATGTACAATGTGGATTATATAGGCCAATACCATTCCTGTAAAACAAAGTCCTTATCCTTTTGTTTCATTCCTCTCTCACCTCAAGGCATAACCAGATGAAATCATTACCAATGCTAGAACAAGATTAGATTGACATGCCAACTAAGCTCTTGCCTTTGTTCCAACAGCTATTTTTTAATTTAAAAAAAAAAAAAAAAAGCATAGTGTGGTTATGGGCAACAATGCCCTGAGACCTTTGTAGTACAAAGAGTTGGAAGGTGGGACTTAAAAATGCATATTCAATTCTAAAGTTCCCCTGAGATGTCAATGAGCCAATAAAGAAGAAGGAATCCTTGAGCAGCCAGTCACACCTCTTGTTCTATGGGAGAACAGGCAACTACTACAAGAGGCAGGGTAACAGCACCCCAAACCATGGACAGTTCGGGACTTAAGCAGGCCTGTCTTTTGGGTTTTCATCTTTTTGCGAGAGGATTAAAAAAAAAAAAATGAAGAGTTAGAGGGAACTGAAAGAAGAAAGGATCTGTGACAGACTTAAAGAAACCCTTTTCAAAGCTGGGCACAGCCAGGCAGGGTGGCCCACTACTCAGGCAAGGTAACTCCATCTATTTCCAGAGACTGAAGCAGGAAGATAGCAAGTTCAAGGCCAGCCTCAGCAACTCAGCAATACTGTGTCTCAAAATAAAAAGAGCTTGGAATATAGCTCAGTGGTAGAGGGCCCCTGAGTTCAATCCCCAATATTAAAAAAAAAAAAAAAAAAAAAAAATCCCATTTCCACAGGGCAATACCTAGACAAGGCTTGGCCTCCTGGCCAGTAAATTGCCCAGTAAGGATCACTGTGGGGCCACAGGTCAGCTCTTTCCCACCAGAACTTGCATCTAGGGGTCAAAAGCCGCAACTGGATTTCAGGGGTGAGGCTGCCACTGCTGGTGATTTCAGTGTTCTCCTCCAGGAAAGCTTTCATTCCATGGTCCAAAAAGCTTCCTGTTCTTCTCCAGGGACAGTAACCCCAGGGTAACAGGAGGAAACCACTGCCTCTTATAGTCTTCAGAAGGAGACCCCAGTGGTTCCTGGGAACTTTCCAACCTAGGCTCCAAGCCATGAGTCGTTTTCCAAAACAGTTCTTTCAGTGTTGCTGTTCATAAAGGCTGTTCCTCATGGGAAAAGAACAAGAGGCTGTCTCCCAACTTGATCACAACTGGAATCTCTGCATCTCTAAAAGCAAAAATAATACTGAAAATTCCAAGGCTAGCCAACATTTCCAGATCCTATTACAAAATAAAATATTTTAGTGTAAGTTCTTTATCTGACAATTCACAAGTGTAAGTTCATGTCAGAGGAAAGCTTTGGTGCATCAACTTAGAAAAATCCAATTCTCTGTTGCCTTTTCACTATGAAATGTTTTAATAATTTAGAACAATAAATACACAAGCATTTCATTTGGGGAGAATGCTCCAAAAAAAATGCCTGTTACATAAAATAAGGTAGATCTTTAAAGTTCTTTCATACACTTAACAACACACTTATCTTTAAGCAGGCATGCTTGGCAACTGAACAAAATCAGTCCAAAACAGACAAAGCCCCCTGTCTTCAGGAAGCTTATAATTCTACTGGTGGGACAGAGCAGTTAACAAGACAAACATAGGTTTTGCCCTTTTGAAGTCTAGCCAAGAGTTGTGGGGGTAAACAAATTATACTATGTGCAGAGGTGCACAAATTATATTGACTATATCATTTCATTAACCTGTGACCCAGGTATAAAAATTTATAGTATGTAATACGTAATATTATTATTAATTATATAATAATATAATTATAAAACTTCACAGGTATAAAAACTTATAGTATGCAATACATAATATTATTATTTAATTATATAATAATACAATTATAATATGAACATATATAAACTCTAGATTATGATTTCTAACCTATTTTAATAGGCCTGTGTAAATTTAATTGAACTATTGAAACAGTGGAAAAATTGGAAACTTTGGACTTAAAGATTATCATACCAGCAAGTGTAAGGACACAAACCTGTAGACCTAGCTACTGGAGAGTCTGAGACAGGAAGATTCCTTCAGCACAGAAGTTCAAGGCCACCTTGGATAACATAATTAGACCCTAGCTCAAAAACAAAACAAAAAAACAGTTTTCTGCCAGGCATCATGGCACATGACTGTAATCCCAGTGACTCGGGAAGCTGAGGCAGGAGGATCTCAAGTTCAAAGCCAACCTCAGCAAAAGCGAGGTACTAGGCAAGTCAGTAAGACCCTGTCTCTACATAAAATACAAAATGGGGCTAAGGATGTGGTTCAGTGGTCAAGTGCCCCTGAGTTCCATCCCCAGTACCAAAACAAACAAACAAAAAAAAACAGTTGTCATATCATAAAACAATGCAATCAAGATTCAGATTTTTCCCCCATGGGAAAAAACACCTTATAAATTGAATTTATTTACTAAAGAGACATCAACTCCCAAATCTCATTCTGTAAATCTCTGAAGATTTGATGTTACTAAGCTTGACTGCAGATTTTTTCCTACAGAAAAATACCTTGATAAGTAGGAATGAGGAACATCATCTTAAACAGAAATCAGACACAGCAGTTGTTTAGAATCTGGTATTTTGTTTGTTTGTGGTGCTGGGGATTGTGGTACTACCTCTGAGCTACATCCCCTGCACACACTCACATACTTTTTTTCCCTCCCTGTGGTAGTGGAGATTGAACCCATGGGAACTCTACCACTGAACTACATTTCCAGCCCTTTCTAGTTTAAACTTATTTTGAGGCAGGGTGTCACTAAGTTTCCTAGGCTGGCTTTGAATTTGTGATCCTCCTGCCTCAGTCTCTCAAATCACTGGGACTACAGGACTGCGGAGGGCATAAATGTTTTACAAAGTCTTGTATCCACCCAATATTTAGACTAGGGAGTCAAAAATCTCGAATGCCTACAAGTGTCTAGACATGATAAGTGACTGATGAACGATGTTTGTAGGATATCAGAAGGGCTGCGGCAAACTAGAGACTGCTGCCAGGAACAAGTTGCTACATCTTCCAATTTCTCAAAATAATCCAGATATTTATGCATAAACTCCCACTAAAAAACTGGCAATTCATTCAAATATCAAAAAAACAGGGCAGGCCAAAGACTTCGGACTGTGTTAGTTATCCCACATTTATGCCTGGGGATCCAAGGGATCCCTAATGTCCTGACCTCCAATAGACTACTTATGCTTACCAATATAGGGTTATCCCTTCAATCATACACTTCTAAGGTTTTAAAATAAAAAGGGCAAATATGAGGTTATTTTTTTATTTGGACTCCATGTCATCAAGACCAATGCTTCCCCCTCCCACCCTAGCACCAATGAAGACTCGGTTATGAAGCGCTTGTTTGGTGACCTCCTGATACATACGTTAAATGTTAAGATGACGGGACTAGAACAGGTGCTTTGTGACCATGATATTGTCCTCCAAGGGAGGCCAGGAGTCGATCTTAAAGGAGCAGGCGCGGTCCTCCTGGTCTCCTCCTCTGGCTTTGCTAACGCCGCGGTCGGAAGGAAAGCACACCGCACGATTATCATCTGTCCCCGCGACTCTTCATGCTCAGTACAACCGCGCGCCAGGCCGAGGTCCCAAGCTGAGGCGCGCGCCCGAGAACGGCAGACAACCGGGTCGCGGAGCTTCCGGGCCGGCGGCGGGACCACGCGGCCCCGCCCTCCTTCCCAGCAGCGCTTTCGTTTTTCCTCCACTTTAAGTCTTAAAGGGGCAGCAAGTGAGAAACCAGAGGGCGACCTTCCTTTCCCTCACTTAGGAAATGGACTGGGTGCAATGTTTGTCAAAATCTGATTTTTAAAAAATTCATTCTGAAACAATGTACGCAGCTCCTCCTATGTGCAAGTCACACTTCTAGGCACTGGACATACAGTAGTGATTAAAACAGACACTTGCAAGCCCCTTGTTATAGTCTAAATTTAATCAATACAGGTTATAGGTTATAAATTACAGATTAGAAATTATGGGTTAATGAAATATTAATTAGTAGGAATAAAAGGATTATAAGAATTGTATAAAATTAGTAATGATAAGGTACTCCAATATGCCATAGTTACAAATTAAAAAAAAAAAAAGTAACAATACAACAATATAATCACTCTAAGATATAGGATTTAAGTTGCTAAGATAAAGATAATGTGAGATGATAAGTGTAATCTCATAGGTCTAATATAGCTACAGATAAATAGAGATGGATATAGGTTACTAGAACAGTAGTTAAGTATAAGAAATAACTATAAACAAACATAGTAAGTGTAGTCATAGCGACTCCATCTTCTGGGTACCGGGTGAAACTTGATACATAGGCTGTTCTCAAGATGTTATTTTCAAATTGTTTTTGTGTAAGACCCATATAAATGAGAATGTAAACCCCATAAATAAGGATATGGTTTTCTGTTTTTGCTTTGCTAACTGCACTTTCAGCCCCTGTATTCTGCTTGCTTGCAATTTGCAAAATCTTACAAAATTCCATAGGAAAGTCCCCAGGGTGTGGTTTTCTTCCCTATTTTCTTCCTTAAATACTTTGGCCACAAACAACTCCGGGGCTGTTCTTTCAGAGAACCTCCACTCTGACAGACACAGTCCCTGTGTTACCGCTGTTTACCGGTGAGGAGTCATGCTTCCACAAATGCTGAAGCACACCAAGGCAAGTGGAAAGTAGAAGCTTTATTAAAGGACAGCAGAAAAGACTTCCCCTGGAGGAAGAAGGGGACCCAAAAGGCGGAATCTGTGGAAGGGGGAGGTCTTCCCTTTTTTATAGCTAAGATCTTCTTTTGGTATTCCCACATTTCTGCCCTTTGTTTCCCTTTATCTTGCAGTGATCCAATGCAGGTGGGAAGGCCAAAAGATGGGAGATAGGTGGGCTGGAAGGGTAATCTGGGCAGGAAGGGCCTGGGGTGGTTTTTGATTAGCACCTCCCTGTTTGCTGGGAGCTGCTTCATTAACATTTCCTTAGGATGGGCTCAGGGCCTTGGGGACATTAACATTTCAATTTCCCCAAGTGCTGCTCTGGTTTCCGGGACTCCATTCTCCATTCTCCGTAATGGTCTCCATTTTCTTTTATCTTACTCGATATTAGACCCGATTTACCTAACTACACTAACTACCCATCTTTAAATCTAGTTTCACCTGGCCAGGTAAAATTGGCAAAATAAAATTCTTTGATTTGTTTCAAATTCTGACTTAGTGTGTTTTCTGAGCGATCTCCCCATAACATTATGATACTTAACATTCAACTGCAATTAAATCACAATTTATGTCCTCCCACAATTTATGTCCTAATAATTTTTCGTAAATGGTCAATCTAAATCAGTTGCAGTCTGCATCGCTCAAGTTCTGGATCTGTGTACCTTCCAACTAAACTCAGATAAACCTCCATCAAACTCAGTACTCCAAAATTAACTATCTCACAAAAATTAAAACTTGCTCTTTTGTGGGGAGTGTGGGGGTGAGGAAACAGCAAGGTGGGGGTGCGTAGTTGTCTAAAACCAAGAAGGAGGCAAACCATATTTCTGCATCTTAATCTGCAGTTCCCATTTAAAATCTATTTGTCGCTTGGGTATTCTGCTACGGCCCTCAGTTTAATGGGTTTCCAGCTTTCTATGTTAACTAGAATCTCTAAGAATCTACAGGAGAGTGACACATTATCATTCCAATTAACAGCCCCAGATGCTTCCTTATCATTTGTCTCTTAGATGAGTGGCCTATTTATTCCTGCTGATAGGCAGTCACTGGGCACTCCAGAGTATTCTTAGATTTTCTCTCTGATAGCCCGTATGATGTTTTTATGACATGCACTAATGAACTTACCAGCCGCGTTTTTAAAAATAAGCTACTAATAGCTAGGCAGTTGGCACATGCCTGTGATCCCAGCTATTGGGGGGAAGGGGATTGCTGAGGCTGAAAAACCAGCCTCTATCTCAGAGCAAAGCCTGTCCAAGGAAGGGACATGACCTTTGTCCTTGGAAAAACCCACAGAGCACTCCTAAGCACATTCCCACCCTGCTAAGTTATTTATCTACAGGAGAGATCTGCTGCGCCAGGTGTCCCTGACTCAGTCAGGCTAGGTGGGGATCCATAGCAGCCCCCTAGCAGCCACCATCAGCATGAGACAGGGAAATACTTGGGATGTCAGATGACCCTCCCAGTAGTTTATGGTGGTTGATAACATATTGGGAAACCATGTAGTTCAGCACGTACACCCCTTTTGGCTTAAACCAATCAGTTCAAACCAATACCCCTTTTGTACTGACCAATCACCCCTACCCAACTTGTTCCCACCAGTGAATGTGCTAATCATGTTTTAGAGTTGTTATTTGATTTTCCCGCGGTGTGTGATGATTTGCTATGATATATGTGAAGTCCCTGCCCTCTCCAAAGAATGTATAAAAATGCTGCAAACCCTGGGCTCGGGGCCTCTCAGCGTCACCAGTTGCTGTGTGTGCGCCCGGAGGACCGAGCTGGCTCACAATAAACACCTCTTTGCTGCTTACATCGATCTTGGGTCTCTGGTGGTCTTTGGGGGTCCTGAATTCGAGCATAACAAGGCAAGAGGATCACTGGTCAAGGTCAGCTTCAACAACTCACCGAGACCCTATCTCAAAGTGAAAATTAAGGGTTGGGGATATAGCTCAATTGGTAGAGTGCTTGCCTCCTCGAATTTACAAGGCCCTGGATTCAAGCCGCAGCACCACACAAAAGAAAATATCAACCTCAATGGGGCTGGGGTTGTGGCTCAGTGGCAGAGCACTTGCCTGGTACATGTGAGGCCCTGGGTTCCATTCTCAGCACTACATACAAATAAGTAAATATGAGAAACTGATGTTGACTACATTTTTGAAAACCCACTTCTACCTCAAGGCCTGTCCAGAGGTTGAGGGTGTGACACTTGTCCTTGGAAAAAACCCACAGAGCACTCCTAGGCAGATAGCCACCCTGCTGAGTTGTTTGTCTGTAAATAACAGGAGAGATCTGCAGCGCCAGTGTCCCTGACTCAGTTAGGCTAGGTGAGGACCCATAGCAACCACCAATCAGCATGAGACAGGGATGCCAAATGAACCCCCCAGTAGTCTCAGTGGTTGATAACATGTTAGGGAACCATGTAGTTTAGCACGTACACCCCTCACGGATTAAACCAATCAGTTCAAACGAATCCCCCCTTGTACTAACCAATCACCCTTACCCAACTTGTTCCCACCAGTGAATGTGCTAATCAATGTTAAGAGTTGTTGTTTGATTTTCCTGTGGTGTGAAATGATTTGCTGTGTGATGTTGTGACACATAGAGTATCCCCAAAAAAACCTATAAGCTGTCACTGCTTCAGAAACGGTTGCGAGTCCAGGCTCGAGCTTGCAATAAAGACTCTTGTGTGACTGCATCGGATTCAGCTCCTGAAAGTCTATTGGGTTCCCACAAATCTGGCATTACTTATAAAGGTCCATCGATGACTAAAAACTTAATTTAAAAAAAATTAAAATTAAAAAGGCTGGGCACACAGCTTAGAGGTGGAACGCTCCTGGGTACCATAATCCTCAGTACCACAAAAGAAAGTGGGGTTGGGGGACCTACTAATGTTAAACCTTTGTTTTCTCAGCCATAATAACTTTTCACTTCCACACACTCCCTGTGAGACAAGGGTAAAGTACAGGTAGTCAGCAGTAGATAATGAATGATCTGGTAAGAAAGATGGGGGCTAATTATCAAAGAAAAGGAAATGGGATGCTAATGGTACCACGGGTTATCCTGCTTCCCCACATGTTGAAGTTTGAACATCAGAGAAGCACTCCGAGGCAAGCATATAAAGCAGGGTTTATTTAAAAAGGGGTAACATACCAGCTATCCCTAGAAGGGATGCGTTCTGCCCTTTTTATAAGTCCTAGACTTCCTTTGTTCTCCCGCCTTTTCCCCTTATCTTTCTCCTTCCTGCATACGTGACTATACCCAGGAATGCTGGGATGGCCAAAAGGTGGAAACAGGTGGGCTGAAGAAGGAAGGGCAGGATGGAGCAGACAAGGACACATAACAATCTTATAGCTCCCTGTAGGGAGGGGAAATTCCTGGGACAGGTTATCTTGGCAACTGGTTGGAGCAGGGGCAGGTTCTTGATAAGGGTGGAGGAAGGGCTCTGAAGGAATTAATATTTCAATCCCTCAGGGGACAGTCTCCAACTTCCCAGACTCACTCAAAATTGGCCTCCATGATCTGACCTGACTTGATTTACCTATCCACACTGACTGCCGGTCAAATTCTGGCTTCACTAACACCTCTGGGGCAGTGGCTCCTCCCAACACAGGGAATTCCTAATGAGTCCCCCCTGGGCAGCTCTTTTCCTGCCTTTTGGGCACCTCCACTAGTTAGGGAGAGGAGATGGGGAGGAGGAAAAGAAATCAGAGATCTATAAAGGGGCAAAACACGCTCCCTCCCACCGGCATCATCTCTGTTCTGTCTCTTAAATAAAAAAAAAAAAAAAAAAAAAAAAAACCTTGCTTTCTATTCTTGTCTCAGTGTTTTAAATGTTTAATCTTTAACACGGGGTGGGGCGGGGGTTGAGGTGGGGCGGGGGTGGGGGTGTTGAGGACCCGATCATCTGATTCATTCATAACCACCTCCAAAGAGCCTCTGGGTTCAATCCCTGGTAAAAAAAAAAAAAAAAAAAAAAATCTAGTGACATCACTAGGAAATATAAGGGGGTGGTATAAAGCTAATGAAAGATAAAGGCTGCTCTAGTAAGTTTGTCAGGCCC